TACAAATTATACCTCGAACAAGATTCGGAGCCCTGTTTGATTGCTGGCAATCTAGAGTATAAACTACACCACTAACTGGTCGTGCCGGAATCATCTGGAGAAGAATAGCTTGAGCAACTGCGGCCCTAGCAATAAGTGAAGAACACTCCCTAGCATAGTGATTATCCTTACCACACTTGAAGCAGACAATTTTCCCCGTGGAATATGATCTCATATGCGTTCTCCCACAACCTGTACATTTTGGAATAGTAGAAGGCTTTACAAAATTCCCCTACTGGGTAGAAGTCTTCTTGAATTTGTTAATGGTTGTTTGACATGTAACTATTTCCCTTTGCCTTTTCCATCATACTTTTTATATCTCCAACGGGTGGAGCTATTAGCTCTTTTTGCTTCAGATTCATTGACAGGCTTTGCCTTGCTAGTGACACAGACATCTTCAGTATCACGACATTGCTGAATCAAGGTACCAAAGTCTCTGGATGTCGATCATGTTATCCTCTCTGCGATCTTCTTATTTAGGCCTCTTCGAAACTTAGATGCTAAAAATTTGGGAGTAGGCATTGCCATCCTGTAGTTGGAAAATTTGGCTAATTCATTGAATTTTGCCAGGTACTCATCTATAGTCATAGAGCCTTGCACTAGGCATTCAAATTCTCCTTGTTTCCTTTCTCTGGCATCATATGGGAAGTATCTTCCCCTCAAATGGTTCCCAAGTCGTCATCAGTCCTTGGATTTTATAAGCCTATGCGGTGTTCAACCACCAATCATGTGCATCTCCTTCGAGCATGTAGGTAGCAAAAAGTAACTTTTGAGGATCATTGTAATCCATCACTCTGAATATCTTGTCTAACACCTGAAGCCATCTAGCTGCAACAATTGGACCACATGATCCATCAAAAGAGGGTGGCTTATGCTTACGAAGCATTCAACCTTCTGTCTCTGGTCTCCTGGTCTTTAACTGGTTTCACATAAGGCTGAAACACACTGATGTGATGACTGATACCTTCCATGTTTCTCTGTCTGATTCTCTCCTGAATGTGAGTTCCTCCACTTCTATTCCCATCAAGAAGAGAGAACAGAGGCGGTGGCGGTGAAGGTGGTGGTGGTGATGGAGGGTGTTGGTTGTCGTTGCAGCCAACCCTCATTTTTTCCATCATTACCCTCATCATGGTCATGTTCACCAACCAATTCGCCTCTAGCATGTTCTCAGTGGCTTTTCTATTAGCTTTCCTAATGGCATCTATCATCGCCTGATTAGCCAACCTATTGGCTACTTGGTCCACTTGTCTAGCACCCTGCATTTTAGCTAATGCAGCTACTATAGGATCTAGTTGACCCTAATTCGTATCCAGAGTTCACCTAGGAGGTACCATGACTCTACACATAAAGGAATGAGTTGATCAAGCCCATACTAAGTGGTCACACATGCATTATCATACCAAAACCTAAAATCACTCGCAGACATTACAGTTATTGCAATACATAAGGATTTTCCTACCAAACTACTCTGATACCATAAAATGTAACACCCCGTCGGTCGCCGATGTATTAACATACATATGATTCATTGTGCAACATGTTTAATTAACTACACACGGAAGCTCTAAGTTAAATTATCCATTTAACTATTATCTATTTAAGTGGATAAACTTTTTCCTTATAACCTTATGTATTGCAATATGCGAAATAGCTTAATGTCCAACAATATAAATCATGTCTCACTTCATTAAATAATATATTATTCATGTTCCGTCATCAAATAGGCATGACAACATCCATACTCAGGGTGTAATATACACATAATCCCAAATCAACAATAAAACATGATTATGTAATAGTGGATCAGACAACCCCTATGCTCACATCAAATAAAACATACATAATCTGACATATAATAATCATGTCTAAGTAAATACAGGCATATAAGTAAAATCTACGCATATCATTCTAAAATATCTACATTGGCCTCTTGCCTCGAGAAGCATCCAACTCATGGATATCAGCACCTGAAAAATATTCCCCGGATGGGGTGAAATGACTATCTCAGTAAACTAGCGTTCTTGAACGATTCCTCCGCCCCAAATTCACTTATAGGTATAATATAAGTATAAAACAGTGTAGGTAGTATATAAAAATGTATAATGCAACATATGTCCATGTCATGTGCGTAATAAAATCCTACTAGCCAGAGAACAATGTAGACATTACACACTTCTGTAACCTACAATATAAAGAGTCCACCTCATACCTCACACACGGAGTTACCGTCTTGTATGGGCCCCACCATACTCAGGGATTTCCATCTCATGTGAAAATACCACACATGCATATACATATGGCAATGCACTATAATAGCTCTAATTTCAATAATATATAAAATAATCATAATTTTAACATATATCATTTCCAAAACAAATATCGTGCACATAAACCAACCTCCCATGGAATTTGGTGGAACAAATAGGGACTAACCCTGATAACTGAAAATTTACATGTCGCAAGCTTAGTCCTCTAACAATAACTCAGTGTCCAAGATATCACCAAAATGGTATCCAACACTGTCACAATCTCTTTTCACAATGTACATATAATCAATATATATATTCTAATCTATAATTTGTAGAGAGACTCTATTTCATTTCCATAATGCCTTTTTCCAAAGCCGCAAGTGCTTAATCTATTAGATTCATTTTACAGAGGTCTTTATACTCCATTTAAGGGTTGTAGATCATTAAAAATAGTTTTGTTCAGGTGATTCTAAAAACAAATGCAAAAATAGTGAAATCTCTGGATATTTGTTGAGGGCATATCCGGATATTAATATCCGGATATCATATCTGGATATTTCGCGAGAGAAATACAAACTGCATTCTTCGCGAAGATATCCATCAAGACTCCATTTTTAGTGTTCCCAGAAGCTAAAACGATCGTTTTTATGTATATTCATACTAGTAGTTATCTTGGTTACTTAGTTTTCTTATTACATATGTCCAAAACTCAATCTTTTCATAGAAATTCAAAGACAAAGGGGTGAGGCATATTCCCAATGCTTCAAAACAGAGAAAGGATAGTACTTTAAGGTTCCACGAAAATGGCTTGGTAGAGGATGGTTCTTCCTCCACAAAGAGCCGTAAAACAAGGCGTAATGAGGCTCCAACCACCAAAAACGAAATGAACACACCTCAAGTCTCCAAGGAAGCACCTTGAAGCTTCCAAGACTCCATTTTTCTCTCTCAAGACACTAGCTTTCAAGTGTTTTTGGAGATGAAAGGGAGGAAAATTGAGGAAAGTTGAAGTTTTGGCATAGTTTCCTGGAGAAAGTCATGAGCTTTCATGGAGAAAAAGAGAGTGCAGCCATGAAAACAGTGAAGGTTTCTTCTAGGGTTTAGAAATATGAAGGAGTGATAATGGGAAAGAGAAAGACTAAGTCTAAGTAATTTAAGTGGGTCCTTTAACCCTAGTATGCACTTATTGACTTAATCTTCACATTAACTCTCTCCTTAACTCAACTTAGGCATTTCTTATCATTTTAATTCCCTAACATTTAGAAACAATAACTATTAAGTTATTTTAGTTACCAGTTAATTTTGTCAGTACACACTTTTACGGCGAAATATATAGCGTTTGCCAATTACCCGTAAAGTGATTTCATTCCAAATTATTATTTTCTTCTAATTATCCTATTTCAATTATAGAATAATTTCCCTAAAATCATAATTTATTCTTATAATTATTATTTTACTAAAACTCCAATTTAACGGTACGAGTTCTTACAGAGTTCGAAAGGTAGTCAAATACCTAGAGAAATTTGAAGAGAATTATAAGGTTGTCAATTATCCGTAAACTTAGAGGATGTAAGGTTCGCAAGCACCTGAAAGCTTGGAGGTTGTAGTGGTTTGTCAAGCACCATTAAGCTTGACTAATAGTTAAGAATTATTGATAAGCTTGCAGTCTAGACGTAGGTCATAAGTGGTGGTGACCGAACCAGGATAAATTGAGTTTATATTTTTCTTAGCCTTCACTTTTTATTTCTAGCACTTCAATTTCTTCCTTAATATCAAATATATGCTAATATAGATTATATCATAATATTATAATATATATTATGGTTTGCTTGAATGTATTGACTAGCTTTTCCTATGTCTAAGTTTGTATAGATGCTAATTTAGAAATAAGAATGGAGCTTTTGCAAAAAAATTGTAATATTCAATTCACTCAGTTAAGTATGGAAGCCACATTCCTAACACCATAGCTAGAGTTTGTTTGGCATATTGGTCTAACTAAAGTTATAGGATTCAAGAGTGGTTGGATATGAACTAGAAACTGATTCGCAAAAGGAGAGAAAAATAGATGTGCAAATGCACTAGCTATTTAAAGGGGCATATTCTTTTTTATTTTTTATTTTTTATACATAAAGGGGCATATTCTATTTCTCCTCCCCTTTGAAGATTTACATGATTTACTAGTAGCTGATATAGAGGTGCATTCTGTCAGAACCTCCTTGGGGGCTCTTGACTGAGAAAGTGTTGAAAGTGTTGTTTTTTTGTCCTGTTTTATTTTATATTTTATTTCCGTGGTCTTGCCTCTTTATTGTACCAAAAAACATAAAAAAAAACAAAAATAAAACACTAAAGTGATATGATTTGCTCTTGCATATTGACATACCCTGTGTTTTTTACACACCTATATTTACTTATTGTACCAAAAAACATAAAAAAAAAAAAACAAAAAAAAAACACTAAAGTGATATGATTTGCTCTTGCATATTGACATACCCTGTGTTTTTTACACACCTATATTTACTTATTTGCTTCACTTATTATACAAAGTTGCTAACTCCAAATAGTGTACAGGCAAAAAGAAAAGAACATGATTACGAAAAACAAAAAAAGGACACGTAAAATAAAATGGATTCAACAGAATCAACATAGCTGATAAGAAATTATTTTACAACTTATTTAACCAATGGAAACCTTCCATCAAGTGGGGTATGTCCTCCATCATCCATTGCTAGAGGCTAATTCAATCTCATACTTCCTCATAAGAGGAGTAGCACATACAATACTAGAGTCAGTTACCATAACAGAAGAGCCAGAAGAAATACTTGTTGTATTGGTCTGTGAAACTTGCACTGGTTGACCAGGGAAAATCCCATCCGTTATGTGCTGAAATGGGTTAAAAGGTTTTGGAATTTCCGCAGAACCTTCCAACATTTTCACCACAACACTCATTATAGGCCTTGACTCTGGCCTATACTGAACACATAAAAGAGCTATCTTAACCATTCTTTCTGCAATCTCCTTATTTTTCTCCTCAATCCCACAGACCAATATTACCTCCTCCAATTCTCCAGCATCAAATTTTTTCCAAGCCCAGATTGGAAACCATTCCTGACTTTCATGAAGTTTAATGTCAAGGTTTCTTCTCCTACCTATTATTTCAAATAACAGCATGCCAAAGCTGTAAACATCACACTTGAAAGTTATAGGAAATGGCATCCAAAGCTCAGGTGCAGCGTAACCAGGAGTCCCCCTACCTCCAGTCATGGTTATATGAGTATTTTCTCTGTTGCATAGCTTGGCCAAACCAAAATCAGCAACTTTAGGATTAAAGTCCCTATCCAACAGAATATTTCCTGGTTTTATATCATAGTGGATTATTCTTTGTTGACACTCTTCATGCAAGTAAGCAATGCCTCTTGCTGTCCCAACTGCAATCTCATGAAGCTTTTCATATCCTAAGGTCTTCGTCTCATGAAACAGATACCTATCAAGAGAACCATTCCCCATGTATTCATAAACCAGTGCTATCAAGCTTCTTTCAAAGCAAAATCCATAGAGCCTAACAAGATTGAAATGATGAATTCTACCAATTGTACCAACTTCTGCCATAAACTGCTCCTCAATTCTCTTGTCAGAATTCCCACGTAGAACCTTCACAGCTACAGTGGTTCCATTAGTAAAAATTCCTTTATAAACTGTTCCAAAACCTCCTGAACCCAACAAGATAGAATAGTTATCAGTTGCAATCCTTAACTGTTGATCAGTAAACCTTATTGGCTTCTCCCTTTCCATATCATTCAGAAATTTATCCATAGTGAGTGTCAGAAATTGTGTGTCAGAACCAACTGATTGACCTCTTTTATTGCATACCCAAACCAAAATACCAACCTTCACCACAACAAAAACTGCAAACAAAATGTTAAGAGTGTTCAATTAGAAATCTTGTGACCAAACCAATGAAAAACCAACACACAACAGAAGTTGAAAACAAAAAGACATCACAGATTAGAATTTTACCCACGATTGCTACAACATAAATCGCTGTTGTGCTTGACATTAGTCAGCAGAATAAGAATTCAAAATATAGTATTGAATGTGAGGAACAAAGTGAAGGAAAAGGCAAAGTAGTTAAATTTATATGCACAATCCCATGTCATTTTTAAAGAAATTAATCATATTTATATCCTAAATTTCAAACCAAGGAACCGCGTAGCCATTCTATCACTCTAAGTATAAAGAATTACTTTGATACCATCGATATACTTCATTGAATGAGTTAGCTAGCTAAATTACAAGACGGCCAGAGATAAATATATGAAAAAAATATTTATTGACTAGGAACTACATGAATATAAAAACATAGAGAAGAGAGCGATTAATAAATTTTCTATAACATGTCATTATCTGGGAAATTTCTTGTATGCTCCTTTTTTCTTGCTTTAGGAGCATAACCACCGTTGGATGTTTTGCATTGAATCTACACAACCTGCATCACATAAATCTAACTGTTGATATGCTTCTAGAGAAAGAAACATTCGTCCTCCAAGAATTTCTCCCTTTATCTCTTGGAAAATCTTATAGATGGCATTCGGCAAAGTTTACCTTCACCTACTGTGTTCCCTATATACCTATTTTAATTTGATTATCGACTTTAACAACTCCGAGTAAACAAGTTCCCGAGATTTGACTTGTTTAAAAATTCCAACTATGAAGACAATGAAAACAATAAGCCACTAAAATTGTTCTAGTGCCCAGAGATTTGAATATTTCCTATGAGATTATAATTTCGAACCTAGATTGTCATGCTACCTGACAGGGGAAAGCACGAACGCTTTAAAATAGTCACTGTAATAAGTATTTGTGTTGAACACTTATGGACATTTTATATTCAACTGTAGCAAAATTTTAAACTTCTTTTACTTTTTTTTTTTAGTTTTATACAAATATAAGCTGAAATACTATAATAATAAAATAAATGATATTATTTATTCGGGAAGGATATTATAACAACAAATTAGTATTACTACCAATGTTACTACTAATCAATTTCACTGTTAGATTGATTATGTTGATCCAATGGTTATATTTATTTTCATCCTTGTATGGTTATGATTCTTCATATTTAATATTTTGTATTTATTTCCACCACTTTTGTATGGTTACGATTTTTCATTTTTAATGCTTTCACATTAAATATGGAAAATCATAACTATATAAAGATGTAAATAAATATAACTGTTAGATCAATATAATCAATCTAACGGTGAAATTGATTGGTAGTAACATTAGTAGTAAAACTAATTAGTTGTTACAATATCTTACCCCTTATTTATTATCTAATATTAATTTTAAAAATATTATTTCTCCTTTTAACTAAAAAATTGTGCTTTTATGTTGATCTTAGTGGATGCACTAAATATATAGCTCTGCCATCGTGAGAAGGTAATTTTTTTGTTTTTAGACATCAATTCCAACTAATCCGATTTAGGGTTTGTTCTTCTCCACTCTTCTTAGCAATTGCAACTCTTATCAAATTTTAAGATCAAATTGGGTAGCCACTAGGGCAACGACGCTTGGGTTCAGGGTTAACTGTTCAGGGTAAAAAAACCGAAACCAACACTGAGAATAAAATAAAAGAACAAAGCATTTGCATTTGTCCCAGTGATACACATTGATAATATGGTTACAGAATTGAACTGTGCAACAGCTAAATAATGACGCAAGTGCTGTGCGTAGTTGGAAAATAATCGTTGAATCAGATAGACGAATGTGGACCAAAGAACAATTTTACATAGTTTCCAAAAAAAAAAAAAAAAAACAGGAACAGTTTTATATATTAGACGCATTGTTCTACTCCACATGAAGCTTCTACGGGTATAATATACTAGAAATGAGTCCCTGCACGCTTCACTTTTGTTGAATCCTGCATTCCAATAGCAATTGCCAAGTCAAAGAGGGTCCCTCAAACATTTAAAGGGTAATAAATATTACAAAAGAAAGGTATTAACAGCCCTAGGTAAGTTGAACACTTAGTACTTTGCTTGATATTTCTTTCAATTTAATATCAATATTTTGCTCTGTCAAAAGTTCTCGCATCTAAAAAATTGAAATACACAGACACGAAAATATCAAAATCGAGGATTTCAAATCTAACACGCCTGTAATTAATAAGGGTGTATATGATAACCTGTTCTCTAGCACTATGAAAAAAGAAATAATTCTTTTCTATTTTTGTGTCTTGAAACAGTTTCTGAGAAAAAAAATATGTTTGATGGCATGTTCAATTTTTATTCCGAGAATGAAAATTGCATTTAATAACGGTGGCGGTGACAGCGACAGCTGCGGTGGAGTGGTGGTGATAATGGTGGCGATTCTGATGACATGGTGGTGGTAGCGGCAATGATGGTAGTGGTGGTGGCATGATGATGGTAGTGGTGGAGACGACAGTAGCTACGGCAACGGTGGCATGGTAGTAGTGATAGTGGCGGTGGCATGGAGGTGATGGTGATGACGGCGGTGGTGGTACGACGACGGTGGCAACAATGGTGGTAGTGGTTGTGTCGGGATGGTGGAGGTGGTGGTGATAATGGTAATGGTGGAAAGTGATTGAGAGAGACAAATGTTTGTCATTTTATGTCCGGGAACAAAAAAACAGAAATTTTTTTATTCTTTTTTCTGTTCTCCAGCACAGAAATTGAACTAGTTCATTCTCGAGAACAAAAAAATAATTGTTTCTATCCTTTTCTGTTCCCGAAAATAAAAGTTAAAAAAAAAGATTTTGGGAAGGTTGTCATACATACCCTAAGTTTCCGGAGAATAAGAATAAGAATAGGAATTAATAAAATAGGACAACTATGTCTAGGATATGTTAGTGGCTAATTTTGGATAGGTTTATTCAAAAGCATCATAATAGTGGGTAATGTAGTTATTGTTGTAATGGATGATTATTATTTTTAATTTTTATTTTATCAATTAAAACATTCATTAAGTGGAATAAAAAAAGAACCAAATTTGGCATTTATGTGTTAGACGCAGAACTTCCTTTATAGAGCTCAATTATTTAATTTTGTTTTTATCTAAATAGGTCATAGAGAGAAACCCTTACATGTACCAACTTAGTCTCGGAGCATAAGCATAGACGAACAGGTGAGAAAATTAGAAGACGCAGTTCAGGCACTGCCCGATCAATTCAATGAGATGTTCATTCAATTCTCCATTCGCCTAGATGCTTTGGTCGCAGTCGGAAACCATCAAAATGGAGACTATTCTTCAAGTAATTTTACTCATGATCATCATTGTTTCCATTTTGCATTTGGGCCAAGCAATGTGTATGCTCCGAAAGTGGTGAAACTAGATTTGGTTTTCATCAAGAGAAAAGGACAAAGATCATAGAGTTAGCCACCAACCTAGATTCTAATAATTCTGACAATGACAACCCCATCATTGATGCTACAATTTGAACGTGGTCAAAGTGTCTCAATCAAACTTTGCCCAAGAGGCTTCTCGACTAAGACCCCAAGTTTCAGATATAAGATACCAAGGAAAGCTTCACTTCTAAAACTTCTTGAGAAGAGGAAAGAAAGGGTCATTACTAGAGGACATTATCCCATTAACAGTCCTAAGCACAAGGGACATAATGGAGAGGTGGACATGGATTTGGAAGACAACTCAATTACCAAATATTATTCTTGAGCATAAGAGTAATTTTTAAAAGGGGGGAATGTTGGAGATATGTTAGCGGATAGTTTTATTAGGAGATAAGCATCATTGTAGTTGATTGTTTTATTTTTTTATTTTTTTTTGGATTTGTAAAGAACCAATTCAATCCAAAAGTCTAAGTTGTTGGGCGAGGCTACATTAATGGTTTAAATCTTTCTCTAACACACCCCCTCACATGAAAGCCCACTGGACTTAAAGGGTGGACAGTGCACAGGCCCACCTACATGTGCTTAACAAACTCTATAATACTTAATTATTTATTAATTAAATAAGGGGCAGTGAAGATCAAACTCGTAACACTGAAGCTCTAATACCATGTAAAAATGTAATTCAACCTTAAAGCTTAAGCTTGTGGGTGAAGCTAGATTAATGGTTTTTATATATCTCTAACACGTCCCCTCACACGAGAGCCCATTGGGCTTGAAGAGTGGATGATGCATCAGACTCAACCTACCTGTGCTAAGAAACCTCACAAAATAATAAATTATTAATTAAATGAGGGCGGTGAATATCGAACCCATGACTCCAAGGCTATAATAACCTAATTTGTAATAGGTCTAATTGCATTGGATTAACTATTTAATCATGCATAATTTAGATAAATTAAGTGAGAGGCTTAATAAAAGATTAGACTAAATATTAATCAAGCACGTTGTAAATAAAACAAGTGGAATACTTAGTTCAATAAATGTGGAGTTGGATAAGTGGGCTTAAGTGAGAAAATTGGGATTTTTGCAAAAAGGGCCTGTCAGCCACTTCTCGCTAGAGAGCTCGCTCGAGCGAGCTGTCTAGTGAGCGTTGTAATTGCTCGTTAGTGGAGCTCGCTAGAGCGAGGGGTCCAATAAACAGTTGCGAAAGTTGGTTTAATTAGAGTAAAACTAAGACAGACTTCGGGGAAAGATAAGAGAAACACAAAGGAGGCCATTGTTGGTGGGTTTAAGAAGCTTGAAAACCTAGAATGAGGTAAAGTGAGTGAAATCACTTGGTTCCAACTTCAAAGTTGCTTGGAATTGCAAGGGAACAAAACCTTAGACTTAGAATCCATTGTGGATGCTTGTGGATGGAGCTTTTGACTTGAGGAAGTGGCAAATGTGTGACATTCCAAGGAGTTAAAGGTATTGCATTGCTTCATTGGGTGTTAGGAGACATTCCTTATGCCATTGTGGAGCAATTTA